AAAACTATATATTTTGCACCTTGTTTAAGTTTCTTTTTTCTCCTTGTTTAGATTAGATTCCACCAAAAGATCAACCTAAATCTTCTATCATGTCTATGCTATTTTGATTTCCTAATAAAAACAAAAAATAAATAAAAAAAATAAAATCTCAATAACTAACTTGTATTGGGAGTATAGCAAAAAAAATTAGGGTTTCGAATCCGATCTTCTTCCTCGTTCCCAATCTAATTGCCAAAAAAAAAGAACAAATCGAAACCCTGGCAAACCCTTGGTGGACCGGTGTCCAGATGGGCCTGCCGGCTGGTATTGAGCCGGCGGCCCATCTTATGAACAACAAGGTCAACGGCAAGGATGAGGACGATGACGAAAAGGACAGCCCCAGCGGTGGCGATCAGGCGAGGGAGGAGGGGGCCGTCGAGGTCGTGAACCGCCGCCCCCGTGGCCGCCCGCCCGGTTCGAAGAACAAGCCCAAGCCCCCCATATTCGTCACCCGCGACAGCCCCAACGCCCTCCGCAGCCACGTCATGGAGGTGGCCTCCGGCGCCGACGTTGCCGACGCCATCGCCCGCTACGCCCGCCGCCGCCAGCGCGGCGTCTGCGTCCTCAGCGGCGGCGGATCCGTCGCCAACGCCACCATCCGCCAGCCGGCGGCTCCCGCCGCCGCCGTGGCCCTCCACGGCCGGTTCGAGATCCTCTCGCTGACGGGTGCCTTCCTCCCCGGGCCGGCCCCGCCGGGGGCTACGGGCCTCACCGTGTACCTCTCCGGCGGGCAGGGGCAGGTGGTGGGTGGGAGCGTGGTGGGCCCGCTCGTGGCGTCCGGGCCCGTGATGGTTGTGGCCGCCACTTTCGCCAACGCCACCTACGAGAGGCTGCCGATCGAGGAGGAGGAAGAGAAAGAGGAGGAGGGCAGCGGATCTGCCCCAGCCGCCGGCCATGAGGTGGAGGGAGATCCACCGTTGCATCACAATCCCTCATCTTTGCCTATTTACAATTTGGCCCCCAATCTGTTGGCCAATGGAGCGCAGCAGTTGAATCACGATGCATATGGATGGGCGCATGCCGACCGCCAACCTTACTGATCCACAGATCCTATCAAAGGTGATGAATATTGTACTGTTTTTGTGTTAAGTAATAGTTATCATGTGTGAGAACTTTTACTTGGGAGAAGTTTTTTTTCTTTTATATATATAGAGTGTATTTGTAGATAGAAAGCATAATAATATATGTAAATTATAATTTAAATTATCCTTTCCTGTACCAGATTGCAAATATTAAAATTATGACTTGCTTGGAAGTAATATGTTAATTCCAATATTGTATTTTGCAATAAATTTATTTTGTTTGCTTTTTACATCTCTTCCCATTGTTTTAATACTTGTTATTATGGCAACTAATATATTACAAAATATAATTTTGTCCCTTTTCAATCATCTTAGTTGTTTTTTGGAGTAAGATCATGTCTACTTTTTATGCTTGACTTGATTGATGATCTCAATTACATGACCAAATCACAAATTCTTATGTGAATTTGCCTTACTATTAAGTTGGTGAATGGGACATACTTTTTCAACAACAATGCATTCTAATAGTAGCCTTGTTGGACCCTGCTGTTTGCCTCCGTTTTTCTTACATGGTATCAGAGTCGGTTCTACGTGAGACCGTGTGATGACGTATCCGTCACCCAGCCCAGTTGGGCTTTGGTCTCTTACGAAGGACACACAAGTGATGGAGCGTCTTAAAATATCACTTGTAAGTTATCTTACATCGTCTATACACAGAAAATAAGTCTACTTTATAAGCTTAGTGGACTATTCCTCACATGAGCCAATTGATTTTAGGGTGGAACCTTATTGGTTCATCTGGACTCACCCTGTTATGGTGCGTTTCACGTGCTTGGGGTCGTACTTGTTTGCCCCCGTTTCTTAATTACACGCTTAATTGATATTAAGTAACAATAACGAGTTCATTTTTTTTTTTGTTTTAATCTTGAATTCTTGGTAATATCGTAATTCAGTTTATCTTAAAAGTATTTAATTATGAGATCATTTCCATAGATGCTATGATCAAATCCAAATTGGAACTCCCAAAACAGTCTTAATTAAAGGTTTCAAGTTTCTGATTTCATTGACATTCTTGGCTTAAAATGATGATTGTATCGACATATTTTCCCAGTTTACAGTAACTTGTGGAAATATGTTTAACTAGGTGGCATACTGGTGATTCATCTGAACATAAACAAATATTAACGCTAATAAAAAAATTAAATAATTATCCACAACCGAATTAAAAAAAAAAAATATACTCGTGTTTACTAAAATATTGAGGATATGTTTTTATTATAATTTGCAGACACTCCATTTATTCAAACAGTGTAGAAAACATAAATGTCCCACCTTCTCTGGGTATCTTTAATTGCAGCATTGGTTTATTTTATTTTATCTCCATATTATTTTAATATTTGTTTATTTATTTTTTGTGTTATCGCCCAATCGTTATTTTTTTCCATGTCAAATTGAACTTTTCAATGATTTGTTATTTTATTTTATTTCTCCATACAAACGTGACGGATACTTGCCATTAAAACAACCATAAAATAAACGAAAGGTATGTCCATTAGCCTATGGGTGACCGGACTTTTGTATACCGTCAAACATCATATATGTACAAATATTATTTCGTAAAGTTTTAAATGATATTTATGGATAAAAAGATGGAATGTCCATATAATTGGGAATCGAGTATTGTGGGTATTTTTTTTTTTTTCAAGCGATAATTATATTATAATGAAAACTTTAAAGAGTACACCTAGTGTCAAAGAACGTCAATGAACCAGACATAAGTTGAACCAATCACCTTGGAATTAAACAGATGACCAAAGGGGTACAAACACCAGCTAAACAAAAAAAACTCTATAAAAGAGTCACAACTTTATAGAGGAGACTGAAAATCAGACGAAATTGGACTAACAAGACGAAAAAAAAATAGACAAACATAAAAACAACACACACTTATAAAACCATTAATATAAGACTTTCACTAAACCTAGCAAGCAAAACACATAGCCACTCAAACCAGCGCACGAGCTAAACTCTAAAGCACAAAAGCAAAAACTGCGACCAAACTCGAGCCGCCGACACAGATCCAGCAAGGAGGTGATTCTCGATCCAGACCTGGCATCCAAAGAACCTCAGCGCCGGAGAGGAAAGACACGCGCAAGAAATGAAACCGACAAGTCAAACCGTCATCGTCAAAGCCGACCAAAGGACCTCAACCACCGGGAGCGTCAACCGGAAATAACTAAGAAATGACCTAAGAGAGAAATGGGATGTCAACTTACACGAATTAGCAGCAAAAAAGGTTTTTTAGTCCTTTAACTGACCTCCTTTTTTATTTTGGTCCCAGTAAAGGTTCGTGGTAAAAAAAGGTTTTTTAGTCCTTTAACTTACCAAATTAACTAAGGAAATAGGCAAATAATAGACTACACGATCAATTATAATAAAAAGGCCTAGCTTACTTGACCGGATTGCTCAAAATCAAGTAATAAAAAACGAAAGCAAGAGAAACAGATCCCATCTAATACACTTAAGAGCTAAAACAAAAAATTCTTCTACGAAATTACCAAGCTCAATACCAAAGTCACGACTTTTCTTGTAGAAATTCGAACTTCAACTAATCCTAAGCTCAATAGACAAGCTCACAAAATATATGAAAGCGAAAATAAACTAAAACGAGCAAAACACGTTGTTGATGGTCGTAACCACGAGCCTTCCCCTCTGGGGGGTGTGTGGGACCCCCAGTGGGCAATGACGATGTACCGAGGACTCATAGACTTCCACAGTGCTCCAATCCTAGGGTGAAAACCCATGTTTGGACTTTCTGTGGTTTTTGCCCTCCTCATGACTCGAACCCTATACCCTGAGCATAAAGTGGAGTTCATGGCAAGTCCTGGTACCATCCCGCCGTATGGCAAATATGTGTAAAAAATCGAGCAAGCCCTAGGTTACTTGTACTAACGAGATAGCAAGTAGGTACAAAAATTGAGATAGTAAGCCTTAACACTAAATACTTACGTCCCTAATCCGTGCTTGAGCGAAAACGACAAAGAAAAATCAAAACCTGCATAATAAATGAGTCACCGAAAAGTTGACCGGGAAATATGAGTTTAAGCATCCATAAGCATAAGCTAGAGAGAAAAACTAAAAATAACATAAGATCCAAAAAAAGAAGAATGAAATAATGAGTCTAGGTGCTCCAAAATACAAAGAACCAAATATATTCTTACTCGTAGCCAAAACACACACTGATTTCACGCACAATTAGTAAAACACTCATGAGGTCTCCAAATGGCCCATTGGCCGGGGGCGCAAGTGGCAGAACGTGGGTACGGGAAAGCTCGGGTGATGTCCTCGATCGTCAAAAGCTCGGGAAGACTAGGAATTGGGTCGGGAAAAACTTGAAAACACTTTGAAACAAGTTGGGATTCCTCATAAATAACTCGTTACAAAATGGCTCGGGACTTCTCAGAAATATTTAGATACGAAATGGCTTGGGACTTTTCGGACATATATCGGGATCACTTGATGCTCACGTCTCGGGAATTGGTCCGATTCTTCTATTTCATCCTCTAAATAAACCTGAAAATTACACCAAAAGGCATGAAGATGTACGCCAAAACATAAAACAAAAATAAAAACATAAAAATGCACGAAACGACTAAAATGGACAATTAGACAAAAATAAGAAAAAAAAACTTAAAAGTAACTCAACTACACACATAAGACACATAAAAAAGTACAAAAATACAGTAAATAATTCACCTTTGACAACTGGGACAACCCCCGAGGGTCCATTTACCTTTGTACCGACTTGCTTACCCCGACCATCTATGTTTTTCTTTGGCGAGGGACTTTTTATTCCATCACAGTTTTACTCCTGGATCGAGGCCGAACATTTCCAGACTGAGACTTTTTCCACTTGTGTTTAGAGAGCGAGGTTGTCGGAGAGTGTGAGAGCATTTCGCCATTTATACGCATATATCCATTTCCATCACAGACAACTTTTTTGAGCTCCTGAAATTTTACTTATAATGAACACATTGTAGACACATGGGCTTCCTCATTACTTGTCTGATACTGTGCTTCATCTTGACAGAAAGGAATAGTGCGACGCATAAGGATATTACATTTATGTGCTCTCACGTAGTTTTGCAGGTTGAGCGACATTTCTATGGCATCACAGCTCTGGGCAGACTCACACCTAGCTTCCACTAGCTGCTTTTACTTGATAGGAGTATAGATAGACTGCACGCCTCCCAACCGCTTCGTACAATATCCGTTGTCGCCTGTCCAGCACCCGCACCCCAAAGTCGTTATTTGGTTGAGACTTAATTCCCATTGGGTTAAGCTAAACACTGACGGATCTTTCGACCGACTTACTGGAGCCGCTGGAGGAGGGGGCCTAATTAGGGACCACAACAGATATCTCATTACCACCTTCCACGCTCCTCTTCAGGCCACCTCTTGTTATGACGCGGAGGTTCAGGCGCTTCAAATCGGTCTTCAGATCGCAACCTCTATCTCTTCTCACAATTGGATAGAGTTGGATGCTGCCTCCCTTAGGCCACTAGGATTCGTGGTAGATTCAACACCCGCTAATGAGCATCTAATCCACACTTCAGTCGATCCGATACAAGATATTGCACATCTTCTACGAGGGGAACTGACCCGCTAACTTCCTCTCTTGCATCGCTGCCTCCACTCCCTAGAGGCGCATCTTTCAGCCGGACCCGCTCCTCTCCGCGTCCATACTCTTGTTCGGAAGGATCAGGTTGGTTACCCATCGTTCAAATTTGGGCAGTCGTTTTGGTTTTTTATGCTTTAGCCCATTCAAGGCACAATCTGTTCAACTAGGTACCTGTCAGCCCAGTTTCACATCTTTTGCTTTGGTTACTGTCAGGGGCGTAGCCAGAAATAGTTTCGACCCTGGGCTGCTAGCCAAATTGTTAAGGAGTACAACTCAGTTCAGCTCGTAAAAAAGTCAATCTCAATTTATTCATATAATAAAACATAAAACTGAAATT